GATTTTTTTTCTATTCCTACGCTCGGTGGGAGGAAGCTGATAGTATTTATTAAGCTGATCTCAGGCACCGAAGCTCAATCCTAACTCCAGATACTCAGGCAATCATCAGAGCCTGTTGTGTCTGCATGAATATACTAATCCTGCCTCTGCTTTCTGAATACATAAAGCAATGTATAGGACCATTCATCTGTGATAGAGTCTTCTAGATGGCTGCAGAGGGCAAGACAGTATTTTTAATATGGAGAACTCTATGGCAAGCTATTTTAGTACCTTAGGATCAGTAACATTTTTGAATGTCTGAGAAGCTGCTAACATTTATAAGACTTTACAACCAAGATCCATTCTCCCAAATGGAGAAAGAGCTCGTATTTTTCACATACATTTTAGATATTGATAATTTTCTCATTTTCTGATATGACAGGGCTCGGGGATTTTTTTCCCCGCTGAGACAATGTGATTGACAGAAGGAGATGAGAATTTCTCATAAAGAGAAGCAATGCACTTTTACGCAGCCGAGGCTGAAAGAAAGCAATAATTGTCCTAATACGCAGGCACGGTTCTCCAGAACGGCTGATGATTTATTTCAAGAGACACTGCTGACAAAAATGCCAGGCATGTCTTCCCAAGCCAAGATGAGAGCCGAGATTGGTTTGAACAACCCCTCGGCCCTCTGCCCGCCTGCCGTGCTGCCGTTCGGTGGCGAAGGTGCCGCGGCCGGTCTGGGGTGGGTGCAGTGCCAGCCTGGGAGACCCCATCCCCGGAGGATGCGGATCAGCAGAGCTCCACTGGCACCTCTGCCACGGCGAGCCCGACCCATTGTTACAGAGGTGGCACTCGGCACACGTTTAATTCCGTTTTAGGCTCATTCTCAGCAGATGCTGGGGCACTCGGAGGCTCCAGGGAGCTTTGGGCAGTTAGAGCTGCTGCCGCACCCCTCTGGGCTCTGCTTTAGGACAAAAAACCCAAACAACCCCAAAACTGAAGAAGCTGCCTCCAATGCTCGGGCCGGCGCAGAGCCTGGGAGCAGCCCTGCGCCTGCCGTGGGGATGCCTGTCCTCGAGGGTCACCACCACTTCTGTGCCCTTACAGCAGCCAAGGAGCTTTGCTTTCTGCACGGCTCCTCTATCACCTTTGGCTTTTCCCAGTGCTTGGCCAGGCCTTGCAGCGGCTGTAGCTGTTTCACTGGTGCACACAAGCCAGAAGTTAGCCCCCTCTACCTGCTTTCCTCCCGGCCTCCTCTTCCAGCTGTTCTCTGTCTCCTCTCACTATCTGCATCTCATGTTCTTCTCTGCTGTTTCTAATAGCTTTTATCTATGCCAAGTCCCATCCTACTCATCTCTCATTAAACCCCAGACCTTTCGCAGAGCTTTTCTGCATTGATCTCCCAGCCAGCTTTTGTCTCTTTGACATCTAGGTTCTCTTCGTTTGTACTTTTCTCTCTGGATCTGGGAATAATTCTGCTTCTATTGATGTTACCGGATCCAGGCCCTTCCATTTTATTAAACTCCTTGGGGTAAGGATCATGGCTTTCAAGGGATAGATGCGTATCTTCTGCTTTGCAGATACGATGGTGGGTATGACTGGTCCCTGCACCAGCAACACCCAGGGTGTCGCGAAAGCCTCAAGAGGCTGATGTGTATCACAAACAGTAAGAATCTTATCCTGTGCTAGATACTGGCCTGAGAGAGACATTATCCCTGGCAGACACCAGCTCCAGACAGACATTTTCCATGGCAGCCCTGCCCAGGAATAGATCCTGACTTCATCTAGAAGAGGAGCAGGAGCTGGTTGTACAGGGTTGTGCCACTCGCTGGAGGACGGCACGGCCAGAGCGAATGGGGCAGGGGTGGCCTCTGCCATACCCGTGGTGTATCTACCTTCTCCTGCTCATTTTCAGATGGCATGTTTTGCTCTCCTGCGGCCTCAGATCAGCGTCTTGATAGAAAGCTGCTGATATGAGCAGCCCCTGCCGGCAGCGAGTGCTCCCCGGAGCACCAGGGTCTGGGAACGCACGCTCTGAGCAGATCTCTTATTTGGAAAACTAGATGGTATTGACTATTTATAACCTAAGCTTAGAGCAAGGCAAGGCCAGCTGGAAAATATGCCACCATGGTGAAGATGCTCGGCTCAGAGCAGAGCATTGGGGGTTTTCAGCCCTGAATTACAGGGCAGCAGTGAGCAAGTGGCTTTGCTTTTTCTTTTTCCCCTCCTACTGATTTAGTTTGGAAGCATTTCAGAGGGCACTTTCTCCTGTTATATGGTAATAAAACCCTGGGCTCAATAACTGAGATCTGCTGTCTGGCATCAAGCAATACAAATAACAATAAAAGAAACAAAATAGTGGTGAGTCAGGCTGGTTTTGACTTGGAAAAACATCAGTTATCCTTATTACTCACCAGCTCTCATCTCCTCTGGGGGACTCTGCCGGCCACCAGCGAGTCTGCAGTCTAAGAGAGTCCGTATTTAGCTCAGGCCCTCCTAGAAATGGTTTTCCCTGGGGTTTCGGCGGGTCAGCGGTTGCATACCCACTTCATCGGGACCGTGAGTGCGAGCAGCCTTTTTGCAGGGCAAGAAGAGTTTTCCAGCTGAGCCCAGTGGAACCACAGGGCTGTAGACCCGACGTGGCATGGAGGGGCCACAGCCCAAGGTGGGGTGGACGATCCTTGAGGCCTGTGTCTTCATCCGGGTGGAAAAAGCAGGAGAGGGAGCCTGGGGAGCGGGGGACGCACCCCTGTCCCCGACGCTGGCTGTGGTCGCCCATGGGCTCCTGAGCGATGTGCAAGCTGCGGCTCTGTCGTGCCCTGCAGAGCATTGTCACAACAGCCCAACACGTCTGAAACACGCACAAGGGGCCAAGTCCAGCTGGTAGCTGATTTTTGCTATCGAGATTCGTATTTATTAATTTCTAGCCCATTTGCTTTCTTTTGGCACCATTTTTCTCTGCAAGTGAAAAATTTACCCTGAATCACAGCGTGTTATTTCCACTTGTCAAGATAAAGGTTAATGAAATACCAGTAACTGCATCACAAATCTAGCTCTGTATCTATCAGAGATTTTATATGGCATGTTATACTGCACAGCCTATGCTTAGAAAAGGCTGTGATTAAAAAAAACCCCAAACTGTCAGAGGTCAAGAAATTCACAGCTAGAGCAGCTGAGCCTCTGCCCTTCACTCCTCACCTCTCGCCTGTAGGACGAGGAAAAAGCCCTCCCGCAATTGGCACAAACAAGTATGGGTCAAGATTTAATCCAACACACGAGATTCTGCAGGACTGCGGTATTTAAACAACGTTTTCCTGTGCAAACATTGTCTGCCTCTGGATAACGGTTACTCGGATATTCATACACTATGTAAATAATATATAAATAACATATATCATAGAATCATAGAAAATCTCGAGTTGGAAGGGACCTGTAAGGATCATCGAGTCCTATAAATATATGTAGGATTTAGAAGCAACATAATGCTATATTTGACATATAGCTGTCTTCAAAGAGATTTGCACCAGAGGTGCAAAGAGAATTTTACGTACTTGCTGCAAAGATTTTCTCATGCCCTGAACGTGAAACCGGGGCTGGCAGAAGGACGCACCGTGAGCTGCTCTGTGCCCTGGGACGCGGGAGTCGAGACAAATTACACAGTGACAAACTCCCCTTCGAGATCCGCAGACACAAGATCAGACCCCAAATTAAATACTTGGAAATACAGACGATACGCCCGTTCAGCAGCAGTGCGAGCATATGATCTTTCAGGAAGGAAGGGAGGAGCTGCTTTGTTTTCTTCCTAGGGAAGGTCGGGGAGGGATGGGATGAGTGTCAGAAACTGCCGTTTGGGATGAGTCAGGAGATTGGCATGGGGCGGTTTGCATTAATACCGGCTTGAACGCATGCCAAAGAGGATTTCCAAAATTCACAGCCAGTTATTTCTTGTCATAGGGTTAAAAAATCCTATAGCCTGTTCCTCCACTCCAAGGCATGCAATCGAAAGCCTGAGGAGATTACTCTGAGAAGGTTGGTTTGTTCTGTAAATATGTTCTTAAAATCTTGAATACAGATTACTAAGTTTAAAAAAAAACCAACAACCCAAAAACTTCTAACAGAGCTAACGCTCTCACCGAGAATCTTTTCCCTCCTCCGAAGTGGATTAAAAAGCATTGTTGTGAAATCCCAGTGCAGATTTTATTATGGGCTGAATCAAAATGCTTTGGAGTTTTTGGAATTCAGATCTGAAGTTCGTCGTTTCAGCCCATATGTTCCATATAAAAGTAAGATAAAGAAAGGGATGTACTTTTTCTTCCTTTTGATATGCAAAGATTTAGATGAAATACTTACTTTCCGATTTGCTTTTTCAGTAGAAATTCACTAGAGATCCTATCGAACATGAAATAGCCTGTGAAGCCTGAGGAGCTCCTGAAATGATGGATGACATCAAGAGCCAAAAGAATATTTACAAAGCATCTGAAGAAAGAGATCCTTAATCACTCTGTGAAGCCTGTTGATTTGTTGCCATGTACTTAACTTAAAGCTTATGTTGTCATATAGCTAACTTTAAAATTTAATGAACCATTTGGGGGAAGGAAATCTCTGTTAAAAAAAAATCAGTCCTGTCCCTTCAGCTGAAGTGTGAGCAATAACACACTTCATCGGATATTCTCAGCAAGTCCCTCGTTAAAGCAGTATCACCAGATGAGACCTAATTTTCCTAATATTTCCAGAGTACAATGCAAGAAGGAAAAATATTTAAGATTTTATGTATTCCTGAAGAATAGTAAAAAAACTGGTGCAAGCTGCAAGCCCCCCCCCCCCCCCAGGTTATTTGCTAGACCTCTTTCATTTACAGGTATTTTATTGTTGAAATGGAATATCAATACTGTTTTTATTTAAAAAAAAAACTTTTGCCCACTAGATGGCTGTAATTGTTACGGCCATGCTTAATTTTTGGTATCAAATTCCCATCTTTAACAAAGTGTATTCTTCCTTTTTGTTATTCTGTATTATACGCTCTCGACCTCCAGCGCGGTGTTTGAAGCGATGGGCTCCTCGCTTTGCAAATTTCAACTGTTTATAGAAAATTCAGGTGTTCAAAATGGCTACTGCAGTGAGTTTGTATCACGCCTGAGGAACAGAAACCCGCCACCATTTTGAAGGATAAAGTGGGAATTATTTTTTCATTATTGAAAGAAATACTTTGTTTTCTGCTAATACAAAGAGTGATCGGACTGAGAGCCCTACGGAAAGGCTTTTCCAGTAGCATGCTGTTTAATGCAAGCAGCTTGCGATTACTGTTGTATCACAAAAATGTTGCAGATCTGATGGACGGGAGCCCAGAAGGCAGGACTGAGCATCTCCCGCGTCCTAGATTCAGTAGAGGAGCTGATGTGAGAAAGAAGCAGGATCTGCTGGAAGGAAAGCTCAAACGACATCTCACGGAGAATACAATTTCCCTGCTGTTTGCACAGGCTCCAGTCCAGGAGAAGGAGTGGGTCCGTGTGGTGGGTTTGCACAGGGTTTGCTGGCTGCGGTTCCCTGTGGCTGCAGTTTTCCAGAAGTTCCACCTAAAGGGAATGACCACGTAGGCTCAGGTGCAGAGAAAGACTTTCCTGGTTCAGCTAGCGAGCAGGGTACTAATGTTTCATCTAAACAGAGCCGCCTGAATATAAACATCTATATTATGTTTGACAGCTCTTGACTACAAGATACATGGAAAGGGAATTGGCTCTCTTCTCACTTTTTAAGTCGAACACAAGTTTTTAAGCAGCATGCAGAAACATTCGTAGCATCTCTCCACTAAGCATGAGCCTGTGTGGATTCTCCGAGGCATCGCCATAGCCCCTCAGCACGGTGCATGGTTCTGCTAGCGGCTTTGCAGCCCCTGCCCCCTTCAGCTTGCAGATAAATCTGCCCTTAATGGGAATTACTTTTTCTTTGATGATGAGTTTGCCTCCCCGTTCAGTACCGCACCAAAGGGGGTGATCAGGGTCCGTCAGGTTTCATAAGACTTAAGTGCAACTTCTCAATTAAGTGTCTGCAAAGAGGGTTTGCTCGGCCAGGGCCTCGTAAGCAGCTTGAATGGAGCAGTGCCTTTGCCTTGGTTAAAAGTACCACACCAATAAAGAGTGCACACCCAGCACCGCAGTTTTTCAGATAACCTGGAAGAGAAAGCACCTTTGGCATAGGAGGTGCCGTAATAAGATGTGGTTTAGAAGAAATTCAGGACCGCTGTAATGCACCAGTTTAATATCGGTCAAGTAGATAATTTCACTTATTGCTCGCTCTTGCAGAAATACCACGTCAAAGTGGTAGAGGGTAGAACTGCAGTCAGACCAGTGTGTCCCCCTGCTTTAACTGTATTTCTTCCTAATTCAATATAATCAAGCACTCCCTTTTTGTGTGTGTACAAATAGGTCCGTGCCAGAACGAGAGTCTCGTGCACCGTGGGTCGGTCAGCCAGACGCTGGGCACCCCGAGCCCCTGCTTCTCCGGATAGCAGGGCCAGGCGTTGCCCTCAGCCCCACCTCTGACCCAGCCGCCTTATCGTGGTGGGCGTGTGGGTCAGGTTTGTCTTCTGCCCTTCCTGGTGCATGCAAACCCAGCCTACCTGGGTGTTTAAATCAAGTTCATCGCCTAGCTGAACGCCTTATAAAGTGATGTTAATCAAGAAAGAATAATGAACCTTCAAATTCACTTAAATTGTAAGTAAGGACGAAGTGCTCAAGTAAAATGGCTCTCATTCTAAACCGGTCCTTATTTCTAAGCCTTCTGCATCTACAAAACAGGATAAAGTATTTTTTGTTCTGTAGCAAAACACTTTGAGACTAATGGATGAAAAGAGCTGGGTACTGTTCAGGAAGGTGGGGATCTTTTTTACCCTCTCTTCCTATTCCCTTGAAAGTAATTCCTGCCATCATCCTTTGAACCAATCCCTAAAACTCAAGACAATTCTTTGAGATCCTCTGACTCGCTGACTTTTCTGTCCTGCGTCTACAGCGAATCTTGCTGAACAGGTTTAAGCAAAATAATCTCCATGCAAACATTCTGCAAATAGATCAGTTCCGTAGCCGGTATCAAACACCCTACCTGGAGCCCACTGAATAAATGGATGTCTTTGCTACAAAATTATAAACCAGAACTTCACGTAGCATCATAGCCATATAGATTTGAAATAATTTCACTTTCAGCACAGAGGTTTCAGTATTGTAATAACAGCGGTATAAATAGCCACATTTTCTGAGCATTGCAAAGGACAAGTGATTAAGGTCAGCATCCTCGCAAGAGTAGTTTGCCGTTGGTGCCTGATTTAAGACTGTCTGGAGCAGACTACAAAAGGTGCAGGGGTACCTGAGGCTCCTGTGAAACTGTGGTGGAGTTGTGGATGCTTTGTGTTTTCTGGTAATCGGTCTGGAGAGATTTTAAGCTTTGCACACAAAACCAGAAGGATGCAAACCTGCAAGAATAACACCTTCAAATAACACGAGCTCGCTTGCAGAGGGGATAGGGCTGGTTCAAGACGACGGCACCCGCTCCTGCAGGTAGCAAAGCTCCTTCCGAGCTCCACATTGTCCCAGTGGAGCACGCCCTCCCGCCAGCTCGCCTTCACAAAGCAAACCACATACCACAGGGATTTGCTGGGTAAACAACGACTCACCCCTGCAATATCAGCGCTGGAGAGAAACAGAGGAAGAGCTGTAATAGGTGCTCCTCACCTCACGTAACTCGCCATGGGAAGATGCTCGGGTATTTGGGAGAGTGACACGCGTAGGACCCTAATTGAGATGTATTAGACTGCACCAGAGAGTCGTCTGAATTGTGATAGAAATATCCAGCTCGGAGTCAAAGAGCCGGAGGAAGCCGTGAAGGCTGAGAGCAACCAGGTTGGGTCAGACGGCTGCTCGCTTTTTCAGGCTGAGGGCTGAGGCACGCTAGCTCCCGGGTCCGGAGCCAAAGCCCCCGCAGCCGGTGGAAAGGCTCCATCCGGTGTCCCCG